AGCATTGGGTCTGGTTACGCCGATGACGCAACGTAGTGGCTGCGCGGACTTTTCGTTTCAATCCAGATTAAACTTTGCTCTGCTCTGCACTTTGCCAGGTCCAAGTCCAGCCCGAACCAGAGCCCCATTGGCCATGGGGATTTATCCCTGGATTCCTGCATTCATTTCTCCTGGCTATATTCGCGCTACTTTCTCCTCATACTTCATTTGGCCCACCTGCGCGTGAATTTCCAAAGAGTTTCCGAATCCTCGTCGTCCCGAGGCGTGGACAGCCCTCGAAGGCTTGCGACGTCGGTTTTCAGTGGGGGCGGCAGAGCACCGGCTTTACTTGTTGCAGATACCGATAGTCGCCCCGCGGGAACTTTCACGTAGCCATGCAACGTACACAAACACAAATGCAACAATATCCGACAAAGCCGGTTTCGTTGGATCTAGGAACAGCGTAATTTTCTTTTGCGGCTCCTGTTCGCACTCATCGTCCTGGTCCCTTTCCTAGAGTCATTTCGGTCTTGCTACCCCCAACGCCCTACTATGATAGTAAGGTGAAATTGAATTACCCATTGAAACGCACGCAGCTGGGTCCATGCAGGCTCTTGCAATTGAAGTGCGATGTATTAGTGATACTGTAACTGCCCCCTGCCGGCTCCTTCATTTGCCTTACGCCGAACTGTGGTTCTTCAACGGAAGGCGTCGACGACTGAGGCCCAGGCTAGTGCGAGTACTCGTTGAGGTGTTCTGCAAGAATCACTGGGGTTGTCGAAGTGCCGATGGGAAGAAACTGGAGCAACGATTATTCCTCCGATACAATCGCTCGACAGTTCTCACGATTTGCTCGTACGAGCGCGCTTGCAAGGTGGTTCAATCAAACGGCCGATTACGGTCTCTTGGCCTGCGCTGCTCCACATTTGCGGCAGATATTAGGTTATCCTACCGAAGCGGCTGCCTTACGCGGCACGGTCCTGAGCTGGCCTGGGATGCTACAGTGTATGGGAAAACTGCAAGCAACAATTCTCGACTATCCTCGACGTCCTCATGCCGATTGTACACAGGTTCAGGGTTTTCAGGGATACAATGATCGGATCAACAATTGTAACGCGTACAAATTTATCGTGGAGCTGCAATAACAGTTGTCTCGTCCATTCGTTTCTAAGTAAACGATTACTAATACGATAGTATGAGGAAGCAGTGTGGCTTTTTCCTGAGCTTGTTAGCACAAAGCTGGAGGGGAACATAAAATATGGAAACGTCGAGATAGGAACATGATTCTTGTAATTGTTTTTTTAAATTACGAGCTCGATGATGCTACAGTATAATTATTATTATTTTCTACGGTTACTAACTAGTATTACAAGCGTGGATGATTCTACTGAAAAGAAGCTTTAAAAATAGATTACATGTGGCAAAACCTCAATTTTTAGTGCAATGATCAAAAGGTGAAGGAAAGAATAATTCAACAACAAGTAAATAAGATAGACTTGTTTCCACCTTTTCTATCACCTTTTGGATTTTCTATCGTATCGTCTAACATAACGTTTTAAAAACGCTGACCTCCTTTTTTAACCTATTTTTAATCGGTGCAAGACGTTTAGACACGTGACGCCCACAATATCGAAATTGTACCATCTTAATTACAATGCTATAGTATATGCACGCTCGCCTGCCCGCATGCATTGTAGCATTGAGAGACGTTATATATGCGTTACGATATGATTAAATGATACGTCTAGGACCAGATTGAGCTATGGTTATTTCTCCAACGCGCATATGTCTAGCCATATATAGAGCATACATTGTGTCAGCAAAAGTAAATTCACATAATGTTGACGAACTATATACTGGGATGGGGACTAGTCATTCAACCCACGCCGGAGCAGATAATAACGTGAAACATTACTGTTGCTTAGTGGTTACGTGGGTAAGATATCATTTTTACCTCTGGATAAGACATAATTTCTGCTATTTCCGCACCGTGTCGTGGCGACATTCTCTTCAGAATAAAAGCGAGCAATGTTTCTCCTATAAAGGTTCCACATATCCATCTTGCGTCGGCAGCTATCGGGCACGGGTACCCCTAGATTTTTTGAATCGTCTTGTCTCAAAATTATGTGAAACGCGCGAGGACAACCGGTGATTTTCATTGCCTTCACAGGAGTTCCATAAGAGAGATGTTTCTCTCTTACTGTGCGCATTCGTTATGCCACGCAGACGTCGTAGCAGAGACACAGGCAAACAATCCTAAGCCTTGCGAGTCGTTGAAAGATATAAGGAGTAGGCTCTTGACAACGAAGGGAACGAGATCGGACAACCTTAGTAATTAGCAGCTCAGAGCGTTTCCTACCTAGGGAAACTTAAGGTAGGCACACCTGTTTCAAAATAGGGCAGTACAATAATATCCCATTCTATTGTATGTATATGAAATAACGTGCAGAGCAGAATTCGAAAGTTTGCGAAAAGAAGAATTCCTCGGAAGCAGTCACACCAAGCGCGAGAGAAAAAAGCAACGATGTCGGGTACTCACGCGAGGCTGTACGCCTCGCGGGTTGGCTCTTTTCAAGTGGTGAGAGACAAAACAAAGAGAAAACGCGCATCCATTGCAAGCACGGGAGAATTACAACCCCTTTCGTAGGCTTTCGTTGTTTTCTGTTTCGGCAGCGCACACGTAAAACCTCCGCTTTTTCTACGTTTATGATTGGCGTTAGAAAATATGACAACCTTCCACTGGCACTGCTTGAATGTGGAAAAGATGCCCACGATAGAAATGGTGCGCTTCCCGCTAGCCACTGCAAAACGGAGTCGCCCGGCTTCGTTGGGTAATCGAAAACGAGCTATCAAATACATATACTACTAAAAAAAAAAGAAATAAATTCAGACGTCGCTGGGCAGTCGGCACACGAGTAGTGAAAAGCTGGAGGGCACAGCCTGTTAATCGTGGTACAGTTAAATGAAAAACGCCACAACGGAAGATACGTGTTAATATATAAATGTGTCACAGAGAAGGATTATACAAAAGACTGCTTAGACTCCCGCCTATAAGGATAAGGATGACACAGCTTCAAGAAAGAGACGCGTTTTGTTTAAATAAATGTGGTCTTCCTGGAGGAGTCGTGGATTGGTAGCTTCGACAAGATATCGATGATCTTCAAATATCGATCCGGTCATTCAATGTTCTGTCAGCATTATAGAAATGATGTAACTGTGCAATTATAGTTATTATTAGCTACTATTAGAGCTTTTAGAAAACGCAAACAAACTTATGTACAGCGACCGAGACAGAAAGTACTTTAACTGTAAACGTTTACTTTATTCCCAATATACTAGAAATCTAACTTTAAGTTAGCCTCTCACATACTGTAGAATATTAGAAAAATAGATAGAAATAGTATCGACGACTCTATAAATACTAGACTCTATTAAAAAAACGTGTTTGAACCACTGACTTGTTTTATTTATGTTTTACATTTGGCCAATCTATTAATCCATGCGTAGCGAACCATAGTGCGTTAAAGTCAAACGAAAATTCTGATAACTATTTCGCCATCTGCCTGCGTCTAGTGATCAATTTGACCAGGCTAGAGTTTGTAATTTCCGCCAAAAAGGCCACGAAAGAGCATATAAACCCGATAGCCAAAATCACGAAACTACCGAACAAATCGTTGAGCGTCAGATCGGTAATTATTTCCTTTTCTTGTTGAAGGCAGTTGTACGCCCTGCGAAGGAGCCAATTCAATGATTTCTCCAAAAGATAGCTTTCGTTGGATCTGCGAATTCTATCAATAACAAAAACGAATTTATTGATGCTTGTCTCTGTCATTTATCATTACCACTTAAAAAGAATGACTGAAAAGGTTTGGGTGTTAGCAACGTTTTTTCGTTGAGAGATCTTCCTGTGGGTGTTCAAATGAAGAACGACAAAATAGCTTGCAACAGTTCCGACCCAATGCGAACACGTCTCACGTAAAGCGTTCAGGTTAAAGAGTGTCTTAGTACGGAGGAACCATACATTGACTGCGGTTTTGGTACGACGAATCTTTTTACTTGATAATAGCTCTGCCATGGGCACGTTGGAGGCCCACAATAAATAGACTGTCCGCACTGAAAGATCGCCTTTTATAAGAAGAATACTGCCTCACTAAACGACATAGAGCTATAGATTTAGATGCAAACTATTCGACCATCCTCAGCAGGCCGAAGGAACCATATACGAAAGTTATATTTGGATATATATATAAGTTGAGGGTCATGTCTTTGAACTTATCAACGTGAATTAACGAGTTCGCTAGCTGTTTTTTTGGTTTGCTTAATTTCCGAACATGTCCAGCTAGCGTTGAAAATACTTTTTGCGGCATTTTTCATTCTTCTCGTGCCACACTCATGTTCACCCGTCTCTTCCCTGGAGAGCTTAGCTTAAGCAAAAGTAATAACATAATGGAATATTTATACAATGGGACAACTCGACGAGGAACATGTGACCGTAAAATAGCTGGAGGAATTACGAGAACACCCGTAGAGGTGCGTGCCCTTACACCCCAAAATTCCATGAGGGACATCTAAATTTTTGAACAAAATGATTAAGTGGGTACGCTAAGCATACGGTCGAATCGAACGGACGGCAGAAACGGCCGGCGAGCATACATACGGAGACAATGCGGAGCGAGGTCGAAACTATTGGAAGTTACTACTGACTATTCTATTGGAAGAAACCTTCTCGCAGCCAGTAAATAGGATAGTATCTGGAGTTCGCTAATCATTTTAATATACTCTTTGTTTATATTGGGCAAGTGCGATTTACATAAAAGGACTATTGGATTTCTATTTGATTCACGTTAAAGCCTCACTGATTTGGCGTTGGTCAACGTCATTTGTAGAAGCGTTATACGTTTGGCGTATAATGATACAACGATTATAAATTATTGAGAAGTTAAGTGAACTTACCCCAAGGTAATCAGACGACGAACGCTGTCGGGCAGGGTTCGGGAAATAAACAAGAAGCCGACTAAAGTACCAAAGTTGGCCTTTAAAAAAGACGACAATTAACAGCGGTACCACAAATGGTACCATAACAGTTTTAGAACAACTACATCCAGGAGTTCAACAACGTCTCAAAGCGTATTATATTGGTAGGTGAGGTCAGCTGGCCAAAAAAATTCAGCCCAATCTAATGTTTTATGTGGAAGTTACTTCTCACATCTAAAAATAAATATTTGAAATACATATATTGGGTAAAATGTGGAAATAATACGCTTTTGACCTATAAATATTGCTAGAAATATGTATCTGGAAGAAAATTAGATAGAGCGGTAATTAAAGACATACATTAAAAGAAAAATTATAAAACTGAAAAGGTTAGACAGTTTCTTCCCCTGTTTATTAGTAGTACCATAATGATGATTCGTAAATTAGACAAGCTATAATATATAGTATATAGATAGAAAATGCAAAATGGCTTTTTCAATTGTCGTCCGCTTGCACCGTTCTAAATGTGTCATTTACCTTTGTAATGATTAAACGCGGGCATACGCCACGGCGATGCTTTTGAAACTTTTCGATCATGTTTACAAACATATAATCGTCCCCGACAATAACGCGCTCCTGTCGCTCGACTTCCTCAAGGCGAGGGTAAAAGCTTGACGGGACAGCGAACGAGCCTGTAATCGGAATATGCTGACGATTCACCTTACGGAGCAAGGGTGACTGGGCATTCTGGAAAGAAAAACGACAGTTACTTACAGATAACGTGTGAAGTGATTGTAACTATTTGACATGTCATTCTGTTATTAAGTCTGTTTGTATTCGGTTTATTTTTGTCTTCCGCAGTGTATTGAAGGTGGGTGTACTGGGTGAAGTGGATGCTAAACGATGTTGCCGAAGCTTATCGTTAGAAGGTAAGCTCTTAAACGTGGAAATGGAAAACAAACGGGTTATTCCTCTGTTTTGGGCCCGGAGCGACAGATGTGTAAACGTTATCGTTGTTGTGTTTGGTTGTAAACGAGTAAGCCCTCCACCGCTCTAAAACTGTAAATCAACAAAGGTAGTACATCTTCTTTTATTATTATCTTCTCCCTTAGGTCACCTTCAGCCGAGCTCTTCACTTCCACTACTACAGGCTGAGGGAGTGGCAACCGAAAAAGAAATTGAAGTTTCCAGAGGTGACCACAGAGTATCTTTGTGTCCGGGACCTCTGACAGACTGTTGAAAATAGTAATTTACCTATGGTAAATAATCTTGTAAAAGATTTATTTTTTTCTACGATTTACTTTAGTGCCCATTCACAGCTTATAAACTGCCTGTAGATGTAATTCCCAAATCATTCAACTGAGCCAAATGTCCCATGGAGAAGCAGTTAGGGGAGCAAAGCCCGGAGATGATGCGTGCACAATACATCAAGTCTTAGATAATAGTCATCGACAAACGTAAACATATTGTTTGGTTCTGCTGCTACCTAGAACACATCTGATCAGAGATTTTTAGACGACAACTCACCTTGAACATTAAACTCAAGGCGGATCTGATTTCGGCATAGATGCGGACCTTTTTAAACCGGAGTACGTCTTCGAGTTTAACGATATGATCCTCTTCCTCACGAATAGCCATGCTGGAGGTTAATTCTCCACTGAAGATCACCATAAGTTGCATAGGCATGGCTAGCATGAAAGCTAAGAATGCCACCCGTAGCCAGTTTTCATTGCGCTTCAGTGGCTCTTCACAGCAAGGCACACGCAAAGGAATACGGGTAGAAGTGTATTAAATAACATTACACATTAGCATCAATTCAGTAGATAGGATTTGGGCTGACGTAAGTACCTGTACATTTTTTGGCTTTAAAACCCTCATTGGCTGAAAAACAAATACAAAGTCTAAGGAACAGACCACGTCTATCCTAGCAACTGACGGAACTAAACGTGCTGCACTCGTCTGCAATTTTTACAAATGCATTTAAGCACAATAAAAGTAACAGCAACAACTCCTATAAGCTCTTGAAGCGGCTTATTATCCCTGTTTGTTGTCTATTTATTAAAAAAAGAAAAGTACCTTGGGGAAAAAATCGTCTCCAGAAGTTCCAGATATAAGCGGATAGAGTCGCAGGTGAGGTTCCAAATCTCCCTTTCACTATGTATCGATCAAGGAGAAAGATACAACAGGCTGCCACGTTTATGCTTGGAAATAAGATGTACCACACGTCTGGCTGAAATGCCTAGCAAACGGAAACAGGCAGCACACATAATTGTACTTAACTGTGAGATATTTAATTATTTAGATTTCATCAACGTTCATTGTAACGCGCGAGGGGAATTAAATCCTATTGACTATATGAACGATTAATAATAGATCTGAGATTGTCTCTACGGTAATGCAAAGTTAAAGATATGTAATGGCCTAGATTCGAATCCGAGCATAGACACAAACTTTACTTCGCGGTGAAACGATTTACGCGTCTAAAGTAATATCAGACAGCTCAAGTACCGAACGTAAAGCTAGAAAGAGGGCCTTTCGTTTACGTCCGAATCGGCTTGCCATTCGAGAGAATGGTAGAGGTTGTTCACGAAATCCCTCAACACGTAACACAAAATTAATGTAAGTTCTACAGTAGCGAGGGCACAGTTATCCGAGGCAACGTTTGCTGGCGGTTAAGAAATTCGAAATAGTTATTTGTTTTATTTTCAAGTCTAACTGATGTTTCTATAGACGATATAGCAAAAGTCATACCAGGCACCGATGCGTCCAACACGAACAGCCCTACAAACGCTCGCCCGAAACGTCAGCGTTCGTAATAACTATATATAAAATGTCCACGGAAGAAAACCTATTGTTAATTATTTGATTTCGACAATCCTTACTTACTACGTATCGACGAATCATCTATGCAATCTGCTGCCTTCGAATTGCTGTCTGAAAACGGTGCGCTGGATTTGAACCCAAAATAAATCGTGCCAATAGCACGTTTTAGCAAATAAACATAAAGAGAGGCTACACATTGACAAAAAAAATCAATTAAGGCAATGTGCCGTCCTATCCGGACATCGTTCCCGTTTGGGTGCAGTTCTCACCCGGAGAAAGTTGAACGGGTGGATAACCTTCCGTGCTTTGGCTGTCAGCAACCGATAAGCACTTATCAGTAAGATAACAGGGTCCACAAATGTAAAACGATTTTCGTCGCATATGGCTACGTTAAGGATGAGATGTGCCTCCTGTAACAGACAAACAAACTCAAACGTCCTTTCATTTTCCTCCTTAGTTTTTTACGTATCCTTTGAGGGGACGAGCTTTTTAGGGTTCTCGTTTAAATATGCGTCAGAGATGGCCAGTCAAACAAAAACATTTGTAGCAAAGGATAAATTAGATATTGCCGAAGCAATGTCATGCGCTAGAAAAATGCAAGAAGTCTGTTTGGATTTCTGAAACAACTCGTAGGAGACGTAAGTATATGACGCATGGGCTATAGCGATTGATAGTATGATGATTATACGAAAATTTTAAGTTAACCAGTAGACGGTTTTGATACTGCGTCTGAATACGGTTCGGAAATGTGACTCGAATTTTTCATACACACTATGAAATCATAAATGTAAAACTATCCGATACGTCACAGTGATATAAGCTTTCTACACAAAGGCTTTATAGCATCACTCAGGTGTTTAGAACTTAGACACTCACTTACCCCACTTTGCACCCGGCCCAAAATACCTGAATGGGTTCCATTGCCCATATCAACTCCGTACGGCTCCAATCTCGAACTCACAATGGTCGCACTAAAGTAACATGAAAGAATCTGCTAATCTTATCCTTGCTGCATTACAGAATCTTTCATTACGTAGCACTAGTATATACATTGGCGTCGCTATCAAGCTTGTTGACCCAACTGATTGATATTAGAGTATTCAGAGAGCTACTGATTCTTATTCTTAGAGGAACATCTTAATTAGCTTACTTCCGAAGCTTCAGGGCAGCCATAATCGCTTCGAGCGTAATGACCAGTGGTCCTGCGATGGTTACATGGGTTGTGGATCTGTTTTGAAAAATGAACGGTTCGAACTGCGATAGGTACGTTGAGAAGTGTACGGGATCCGTTTGACAAGAGTGAGAAAGCAAACGCACAGATTATAGGTTAGGGCTGCGATAGAAATTGTTAGTGCCGAAACAACTGGTAGTAGAGCTAATCGTCAACTGAATTTTTGGATTATAAATATGCCACTTAGTATCCTCAATCAACGCTTACTGGGCACTTTTTCAACTAGTACTTATGAAATCAGACCTAACATTAACACTATTCCTGTCTAAATGATGGCTAAAACCTTTATGCTAGTAAAACCCTACTTCGTTGTGTACTAAACACTACCTATGACTCCGCTGAAAGTAAGGACAGGACCGAGTGCTCAGCAAGACGTGTGCTAATGGATTCGATTATTACTGGTACCGTACGTGAACGCTGGCGAGTCGGAGAAAACCATCGTCGAGTCCTTTTTGCTCGCCTAGAGGGAACGTACTCTGACGGCAAAAGTAACCTCTAGCGAAGTCAGGAAAAAAAGCTGCGGATGTCATGGTGGGTCGGATGTGCTCCCTCACGAAACAAGCGTACTGACACGTACTGATCTCAGATCACATTGAGGTTCAGAGCGAAGGACACCTTAGCGGGCCCTCTATCTGTAATCGTTCCGTGCTGTTCGAGGGATTCGCCTCGGTCAAATTGTCCAAGCTTGCCTTTGGCGTAACAGCGGCACTTTACGTTCTCAACGAACGCAACATCGTTGAAACCTAATAAAAAAAGGCTGTGCTAGATGGAGTGCACAGAGGTAAACTGTGTTCCAACTGCGTTTAACGATCAAGTCGCTGACAAAGATTCCTTCATTCCTTTCGTATGATATTTGTCTCTAAAGCTCAATCGATTTGACGAAAATGATCTACCTGCTAGTTTTGATCATTGCCCAGAATAGTACGCGAACGATTTCGCGCTGCAGTTTTGCATTAGTCAATTACTCTTGTTCTTGAGCAGATCGAAAATACAAATGCATATAACACGGAAGGGCGCTCGTCCTCCCCCTGCTCCTCCCCGCGCCACGGGGGCATTTCTAATCCTGTTGAGTGAATGGCACGAGCGGTTCATCCTGTCAGCCCAAGGAGTTTGCCTTGCATTTTGTGATTGATGAAAAGGTGGCCGAGTCCGATGAAGGAGACAGAAAGAAGCGTTTGGTGTGTCCAGTATCATGAGGACAGTCCGTCCAACGATGATTAAATGCGTGTACCATCTGTATGCCCATTTCGACTAAGTAATAATGGATTTTGTTCATATTGAGGTTGACTCCATAAATCATTTAATTACAACGGATGTTGAGGATAAAATAAGCTATGAACTAAGGCACATCGAGAAGTCTACCCCTTTTATCAATGATCTGATTTAATAGCTGTTCGTCATTTGCAAGCTATTTAAATGCCATCTGTTTTACAAAAGAATTAAATGCAGATGATACTTCATTGCTAAGATATGCTCTGATACTGTGGGACTGTCACCCAGTAAATGCTGAACCAGTTCAAATATGATTTATTACAAATGTTATTAAAGATGCTCAAAGATTTCAAAAGAAGGTTTGATATTACCGGTGCGATCAATGAAACATTTGGACCTAGGTAATAATTACAAAAAAAAATAGTTTTCAATTAAAAATGCAACTTTTTTGTAACTTGATTAGCTGTTACTGCACGAACCTATGCTGCGCATGGTAGTCCTGAATTTTTGATGCAAAGCTTAGCGGCTCTTTTTGTCCAAATAACTTAAATAAATAACCAAATAAATAACTAAATCAAAATAATTAGTCTTTTTAAGATGGTGCGACACTTTACATTTTCTTGACTCTTTGGAAGGTCCTTTGGCCACTTTCAATTTAAGTCCAAAACTTAATTAATTGCGTTCGGCGTATTTAAGCGATATTTGATGTACGGTTACTGCAAAAAAAAATTATCTAAAAATTACAAGGGAAAATATGAATAATTAGTGTATAAGTTAAATCTTGAATTGCAGCCATAATCAAAGTGAACGGAGGTTATATCGACTAAGCCATGTCCCTAAAAATAACACTTTTCACACAGGCAAGAACGTTCGTCGAAATATTTGCCCTTTGTTTAGATACAATTTAAGAAATAGTCCGTAAAAAAACAATAAATTTTCTTAATTTAGTTTATAATTATTTTAACTTCAGGCGAGCCCATGTGTAGCCCAAGTTGAGACGTTTTTACGATTACATATATATACTATGCGGCAAAAGAAAAAAACGATTATCCACCACGGGACCCCCCTTATGAAGTCTGAGTTGCGTGTCTGCTGGGAAGCCTTATTATACTCTTCAAGTTTAACCTAAAAGTCAAATTCATGAGTTAGAGTTTCTCTATTTTTCTTGCTCTACTTAGTTTTGGACAGGCAGTATTCTTTCAAATTACGTTAGTCATAAGGGTATCAACACTCGTTTTCCTGATGCTATGTAAGTTAAATGACACAATATCTTGGAATGCATATAGTATTCCATATATATGGCCGATCACCATGAAAAATTTGTATAAAATTGTTTTACGTAAAACATATAGTTTACAAAGTCGAATCAGTGGACGCCTCGGTGTGAATTAGAGTGTAGGTAAAAAAAAAAGTGCTTACAAATAAATGTGTCAGAAATTTAATTTAAAAGAAACTTTTATAAAAACACACACACACACACACAGGGAGCTCAATAGTATAGCAATCCGAAGGAATAATATAGACCTATGATGTTTGTCGGTAACTATTTTTCACTCTAAATTCTTGTCAAGGTTATTAATTAATTTAGAAAACCGATCTTTTTTTTGTTTTACTAAGAGATAAGTTTTTTTGGCAAACGTGATTATCAGTCGATACTATCAACGAGTTAAGATGTGTGAAGATGTATGAAGATGTGTTCATTGCTTGCTTATATTTGAATTTCTATCCCATAAATGTTTCGTCGCATTACCAATCATTTCTACCATTTAACCTACAATTAAAATTTTCTAATTCTTATTGTAACGTAGATTATATGGATAACGATACTTATTATTGCATACGTAGAAAACACATAACGGCCCCACGAAATAAGATTAAAAAAAAAAGATGATAACTGCCCTATGGGGCGATTATTCAAGCTCAAACTGTTTGTTCTTTTAATGAAAATCGATATAGAAAGTTAATTGATTTTACAATACAATAAGAGCAGAGCTTGCGTTGGAAATTACTTCGCCACCGCACCTTAGAAAAATGTTTGCGTTGGTATATACGTAGAATAACCTATGTAAATCTAAACATACCAGTATCGGGGCATTCATGGCGCATGAATGAAAACTGTCGTCTTACGGAAAAAAAACAACTCGTGTTTAGCGTCTACCACGAATTGTAGCAGTGGCTATGGAATGCCAACGACAGGGCCAACAGCGACTATGATCTACCAGAGACGAGGGGCGATCGAGCCGTTAATGTACCTCTGCATTATTTTGCTATGTTATTACAACTGTAAATATGTAGACATAATACACGCAATATCACAATTTAGTACATGTTTTCTTAAAAAAAAAAAAAAGAAAAGTACCTCATTTTATATTAAAGCGGGTGAAAGCCTCGTTACAAGCGCGTTCGATCAAAAACGTCTAGACCATAGAGGGTAAATTTTTCACATAAATTTTACATTTTACATAAATTCACCTTGAAACAGTTTTTATGTTTTTATTAAGTCGGACTTATTCCGAACTTGATTTAGGACCGGCAAATTGACATACTTGAAGAATCCATCGTAAGCTTAAGTTTATCTATCAGTGGACTTTGACTAGCTTGAACACAGAGTTTCGTTTTAGGCCATCCTCTCGACAATTACTCCACAGGGGACTCCAAGTAGATCTTAACTACCGTCAGTTTATTTTTTACAATCCTTCTCGGACTAAGGCTCCCCTAATCCAGCGCAAAATCACCTCAAGTATATCCTGCAAATCTCATTATATCTTTTACGAGAGAAATGTTCTCGGTCCTTACTGTAGCCACTTGTATGAACAGTTTCTGGTAATGTCCCGCGATAAAAAATATCTGGGCGAACCCGCAAGACATGACAAATACATTTATTGATCCAGAGAGAACTCTTCGATTAAACTAACCGATTTGACAAGTCCAAAGAAACTGGTCGACGAACGGATCTACGTATATGTAGCAGCTAAAAATATTCCATTGCACTCGTTGTACATACTCTTCTGCTCTCTTTTATAAGCCGCCGGAAGTTATTAACGTTTAGTTAATCGTATATATTAGGATTTATCATACGAGCAAACAGATGCATATTAAATGTTGTACGATGCCCTACAAATAAAGTATTCGTATGGGTACGATACTCATTGTTAATTTGTTTTCGTTCATTGGGCACTCTTTTACCCACTAGCAGTTGTGTTCGCATTGCTGGTACGTGCTCAGAGGGGGAAGCGCATGTCGAATCTCAGTAGCAAGAATCAGTAGCAGAGGTAACTTGCCTGCCTACTAAACTTACGGATGTGTAGTGCTCTAACTTCGAATCCAGACATAGACACACTCCGTTTCGTGCCGGGACGGGGTAGCAGTTAGAACTAATGTTAAATTGCAGTACCGGACATGATGCATATAGCCTGTCTGCCCGTTCGAGTTGCAGCTGAAACACAAATGGTAAAGGAAAACCACGAATTAGGCCCTGCATGATTGATTAGTCCAAGCGGGCTATATACATTAGGGGCCCTGAGTAATAACCGACAAAGTGCCGGCTCCTTCATAAATCCTTCTGCTAGATACCATGTCCACTTGGAAATGGCTAAACGAGTTCCGTACTTGAATAGGAAGATGATAGCCCTAGCGGTTTTTCTTAGCAATTTACATACTTTGATGATCGAATGAACTTCGACGAAGGGTAACGCAATCCGACGCAGACGGAGTTTACCCTCTTTCGCCAGCGCCGGCGGCAGATGTCCAAAAAAAAAACTCTTACACGTCTAATCATTTGATCATCGTCTGCCAACGTACGTTCCTATTCAGATCACAGAAGTGGCTGACCTAAGCGAACAGAATGAACAATATCGGACTATATACAGATCTAGATGGAACATGTAAATAGTTCGGACGAATTATAATGTGAACATATGATACCCCTTTACTTGTAGATCATCCAGCCGACACAAAAGCATTTTGTTGGTACGCGCTCAGATATATACTGCAACTGAAATTACGTGCACGTTCTACGCACCTGTGACCGAACTAATGCCGAAAACGTTGCTATGAAAACGCCACTATGGCTCGGGAGTGTATCTCAATAGACTGATTTTTAGAAGTAGTTGATGTGAAAGGTGTAACGACAATTCGAAACTGGGTCTCTCGTAAAAATACGTTAGTAGCTGGTGATGAAAAAAAAACTTGTCATGGCAATTAAAGGCTAGAATATGGCGTTGAGTTGACCTGTTTTCACGCTTCCTCCATCTATCATAGTACGCACGCCTGTCTGATATCATGCTTACAACTGATACCTTCGCTTATCGCTGCTTCGATTCTATGAGTTGATCTGTTCGCTTGGTGCCGCCTCCGCCTGGAAAATCCGGTATATCGAACAAGCTATACC